GATATTTATAAAAGCGAATAATTAAAATTATAAAATTATTTCTTAAAATAACTTAATTCTTAAGATTATTTAGATAGATCTCTAATCTATCTATATCTTAAATATATAGTAAAAATAGAGTATTAATTTATATTACGTAGAAATCGACTCGACTAATAAATAAATTTATTATAAGTTTTCTAATTAATGCTACTATTTCAATTTTAAATTAAGTAATAATACTACTAGTAGTAATATTTAGTTATATATTAAATTCCCTTATATAGACTTTTACTTAATTATATTTAATAGTAAATATACGTATAACTTCGATATCTAGTATAATATTATAAAACTATTTTAAGATATATTAATTAATACTAAGAAAGTTATTAGACTTAATAATATTATAATATATAAAATAATTAAAAAGCTTTAAGTAATATATTTAGGCTTGGTCTAATATAACTATAAAAGTAGTTATAATAAAGTTTTCGATCTCTTTTAAATCGATTTCTTAAACGTTAAGAGTTAAGATCTCGAAATCCTCGATCTTATTCTTCTAATCTTTAAACTCTTAAATATAAAAGTTATATCGCTTATTAATCGAGTCGATAAATCGCTTAGCGAACTTATTTCGAGACTTCTAGCGTTTTTTATCGATATACTTAATTAACTAATAGCGTATTCTCTTATAAATAAAGCACTTCTAAAAGTTATTTATTTTTAAAGACGATTTACTATAATTATTTTAATTTAGAGGCTAATTTAGAGGTCGATTAATATAATATTTTTAATTAGTAAAGTATATTATAGATCTAAGTAATTTAAATCTCTTAGCCTTTATAACTTCTTCGTGATTCTCGATTATAGTATAAATATTATTAATTAGTCTCGTAATTATAATTGTCTATTATAGGATTATAATACTATATATAGAGATATTACTATAAGAGATAACTATCTTATTCTAAAGTGCTATATCTAATTGAAATTTATAATCTAGCTCTCTTTAGATTTAGCGAAGTTATTAAATTATCTTATTAAAGATAGTTCTCTTATTCTTTTCGAGACTAGCTCGGAGTAAGTCTCTTAGACTAATGCTATTTCACTTACGAAGTATAAAATAACAATATTCTTCTCTCTCGAAATAGCTCTAAAATTAATCGAAGAGTTATTAAATAATAAGATTAATTTCTTAATAATTAGAGTAGTAATACTCTAATATTATAGATTTTAGTATAATTAAAAATACTATTTAAAGAATCTATTAAGGAATCTCGGCTCTCTTATAAAAATTTATAAAAATTATAAATTTATAGCTAAGACTCTCGATAAGACTCTTATTATACTTCTTCTCGATAGTATATAATTTAGCTAGAGTAGTAAGTTTCTTATTATAGTCGTAGTTTTATTTAATATTAAAGTTTTAAATAACTTTATAAGGCGAGGGTAGTAGGTGTAAGACTCGATAATTTAAATCGTAGGCTAGTGTTAAGAGAAGAATTAAAGTAGAATTCTTCGATCGATAAAACGATTACGGGGGAAGAGGAATAGTATTTTTTAATCGATAAGATTAATAATAAGATAATTACAAGGAGAGAGAAATAGTATTCTTCGATCGATAAGGCTAATAAGACTATTACTGAGAAGAGTAATGCTTTAATAGAGAACGGTTCTCGTCATTCAATAATTATAAGATTTCTTCTTAGATTATATTCATCAATAATTCGACTATTGAAATCCCTCGTCCTTTTTTAATATAGACTCTATTATTTTATAGATAGTTTTATAAGCTATATTACTAGTCTTTAAAAAGGGCCTTAAAGTTCTCTTTAGCGAATTATCGAAATTCCTTAATAAAGATATCTAAGAGAGACTCTTATTTGTTTTTATTATAGTCTTATATTCTCCAATAAACGAATTATTCGATTCTCTTATCGATATTTATTAAATTAACTCCTTTAGATAGTATATTCTTTAATTATTATAGAGTTATAATATTAGGCGATATCTCTAAAGAATTAGATTTCTTATTCTTAAAGTCTATTTTAAGTATGTGTTATGTGTTAAACTAGTGTGAAGCTTAATGATATTTAATGTTTTTCGGGTGTTTTCTCTATTCTCTACTGAGTAGAAGTCGTAGAAATTATAGAAATTATAGTTTTATTTAATCGAATCGTTATAATAAGCGAAATCGATTAAGTAATATAGAATCGTGTAAAGTATTACGGCGATATCGAGACGAACTTTCTTTAAGAGTATAGTCTTACTAATCTATATATTAGTATTAAAGTATACTAATTAGTATTAATAAATATCTAAATATATAGTTACTACTATAATGAGATCTATTATTAAATATAATAGTCTTAATGATATCTAAGAAAGAAGGATATCTATATATAGAGAATGCCTTTATATATTTATAACTAGATCGAATAAGTACTAGTAATAGCGAGTGTTAAGTTATTCTAATAATATCTCTTATAGTTACTTAACGTTACTATTTTTAAACTACTATAGAAAGTATACGAGAATATCGTTAATAAAAAATTCGAGCTTAATATAGACTCTATTAATAAAGATCTATTTATTAATCTTTATATCTAAGTATAAGAGTATATATTCTATCTCAAAGTAATTTAAGTAGACTTTAAAGCTATTAATCTTATATTATTATATTCTTAAAAGATATATAAGCGTCTACCTTAGAAAGATTCTTTTATAACTTTAGAGCCAAAGCTACTCGAGCCCGAACGATTATTATTAAAGACTTTAAAAACTATATAGTAACTACGACTTTAAATAAAGCTTCTTAAGATTACACGTTAAAGTCTTATAGTAGAACTTCGACTTTATAAGCTTAAAAAGAGATCTATTAAGCTTTATATCAATAATATTCTTCTAAATTAGCAAAATTAACTATTATTTAATAAGAACCGAGTTTAAAAGATTAAATCTATCTCTCGAAGATTAATATTAAATAACGACCGTCTTATAACTAAAGAAGCCGTATTTATATAGCAAATTACGATCTTTAAAAAGAAGTGAGATTAGATAAAGAAGATACGATATCGAATTATAAAGAAGAAATATTAGAAGTATTTACAAAAGAAGAATATTTATCGAAAAATACTTCTAAAATATAAGTTTATTATTCTATATTATAGGCTAGAAGTATATTATAATTTCTTTAATAAGATAAACGATTTAGAGAAGGATCTAATAGAGCGAGATTTTTCTAATATTATATATTAAGGATTATTAGATATTAAGTTAAAGATCTCTAAGACTAGTAATAAGAAGATAGATAAGACTACTTAGTTAATTTAAAGGAGAAAATAATTATATTCAAGCGACGTTCTCTATATAAAGCGATTTGTTCTTCGAGAGATTTAATTAACTATTATATAGATCTATTTAAAGACTACTATATAGATAAATATATTATTATTTTACTATATTATATATAATTTATAAATTAAAATAGCGGAGAAAGATAATTAGTAGTAGTTTTATTATGGAGAATACTAGTAATAACCCTATCAAATTTAACTAATTATCTCTATGCGCTAATGTTAATATATTAAGATTCTCGAAGTCTAGTTATTCTCGTTATCCGATTATAGACGTTAACTTTTTTATTTTCTATTAAAATTTTAGATTTTTCTTTTAAATTATAGAACGTAATGTGGGCTTTCAGATAAAAAAACAATTATTAAATTTAGTCTTATAGATATTTAAAGGCAAGAAATTCAAATATCGCTCACCAAAGATCGCTTATCAAATTTACTCGATAGCCCTGATCAAAAAAAACGATTATGAATTTAATTCATAGGCCTTTACTCGTATAATCTACTATGAATGGCTTATATCTAGTCTAGAGACTACATAGCAACTACCCTATCATGAAATCGCTTTACATAGTGCCCTTTGCGACATAAGAAGACTTTATATACACTGCACCCCCCTTAGTCCTTGGGGAAATACCACTATTACCACTAATCTCTCTACCAAAACCTCTCCCCTTAATGTCTATGCGATATTAAACACACGTATGACTATCCTTCAAGTTTTGTTAATTATGATTACCTCGTAAATGCCCTAATAGTATGATAATAGGGGGTGGAGGTAGATTTGTTACATTAGATCCGGGAGGTTATCGTATACTTGTTGCCTTACGCATTTGCCAAGGCACCAATCTGTTACTGGCCCGATGGAAGCATCGCCTCGACAGTCTATCAAACTTGCTATTCAGATACAGGCGGCGAAAGCAGCGCCTACTAGACAGCGCAAAATTTTCATTGAGACCTCTAGCACAATCGTAACCTGCGGAGAGCCGGGGTTGCTGAACGACGCATTCTGCTGTGCATCTCAGAATCTGTATTGTCCGCAGAAGAGCTGCAGCGCCAATAACTTCTCAAGTGTCTTTGGGAAGACGTTTATTCCGGCTGTGGCAGCACCGACTTCGCTGAACGTTTCAACTACTACAATAGAGCCCCCAGCCAGTGCGGCTTGTCCAAGTACACATCCTACAAGCTCTTCACATGTTTCTCGTTCGACCATAGTAACTGGTGTTAAGGTAGGCACGCCTCATAGCGTGATACTCCTCTCGACTCTTTGCGTACTTCTATATCGAGAACCCAAGCACAGGTCAGAGCTTCAGAGATTCTCGAGCGAAGCATCTTGGGGAAGACGTCAAGCTGGCGAGGAGGGAGAACGCATAATGCGGCTAGGCTTCGTGAACAGCGTACCCTAAGAGCTAGAGCCAACCCACCGGTCGCCGAGAGGGTTGCAATCCAAGGAGAAATACGAGGTCAACGGGAGGTTTTGATCCACGTCTCCGAAACCATAGATTTGTACTTGATGGGCGTCAGGAGTTCAAGGTGGAGGATTGCGCCGTGTAGCTCCGTAGGCTTTTGAAGTTTTGACGCGTATGTCTTCTTCCTGTCCTTCACAACGGGATTGATAGCTCTTTGTCTGCATATTATCCTCTTTTTCGTTGGCCCCACGGATCACTAGATACCCTCTTCGCCCTCTTCAACAACCCTAGCTCTTATAATCTTGACCTGATCCACCGGCCTATCCTCCGGCCCCGTCTTCACAAGCCCCATCCTCTGCACAACCCTCAACCCACTCTTTACCCTCCCAAAAATCGTATGCTTCCCATCCAGCCACGGTGTCGGCGCCAAAGTAATGAAGAATTGACTCCCATTCGTATTCTTCCCACTGTTCGCCATGCTCAAAATCCCGGCCCCTGTATGCTTCAATCCCGGATCTATCTCATCTTCGAACTTTTCGCCATAGATTGAAGCACCACCACGCCCGGTACCGGTGGGATCGCCGGTCTGCAGCATGAAGTTTGGGATTATGCGGTGGAAGATGACGTTGTTGTAGTAGCCGCGTTGGGCGAGGGTGGAGAAGTTGTTGCAGGTCTGAAGGACAGGCTGTTAGTATGACGTGGCAGAAGGGAAAGAGATGGGGGCTTCGAGTCAGCCACAAGGAGCTTGCGCACCTTGGGGGCATGGTTGTTGTAGAGTTCGAGGGTTATGGAGCCCTTAGGGAAGTGAGTGAGGTCTGTATTACGATAGTAGGAGGAAATTGGCGCACCATGGTGGTGTCTAGGACGACGTTCGTAGCCATTGCGCCGCGGATGGCTCCCTCCTAGATTCGATTGCTTTCTCTGTTCGTCTACTGACTTGAAGGGATGTCAACTGGAAGACTTGTCCTCCGTACTCTAGATATTGGTTGTGAATTCGGAAAAATACTTCAGCCCTATCAGCGCGCTTATACTTGCCACGCCAAGATAACAGAAATTTAGACCAGGTTTGAATTTAAGCTGGAGTGAGATACAGGACATTGAGGTATTGGAGCTACATGCCTCCTGAAGTCTCGTGTGCCTGCGATCCATCTAGTCATGTAGGTCACTCCCTAACCTGTCGCCTTAGAGATCGGAGGCCCCAGAACATCCTGATCTTTGAGTTTTGCCTCGCTCAAGTGATCGTCCCCCAAGAGGACGTTGATGTCTTCGTATGGCAATGAATAGATGACAAGAAATCTCATATCCTCATACGCGGGCTTCAAATGTTCCGATTGGCTTCTTTCCTAGCAGAAGCGCATATACTCACACACTTCGATAATATTAGCAGTTGGATAAATGGAATACTGGGTCTTCAGCCCATGCTCGCGCAAAGAGTCTGTTTCGCGATTATAAGGTATGACAAAATCCCGGATTACAGAAAGACTTGGGTTTTTGGAGACTAGACGCGCCTTCATCTGAAGCTATCGAGGTGGTTCAGGGCTACCAGGCGAGGACCCTGATAGATCACGATGGTGAACGGGTTGGCAGCATCGCGGTACCGTGGCCAACGGTCTTCGCCATTGCGTTTTCGAAAGATCCGTCGGATCAGATATCTCATGTGATGGCGGTAGGCTTTCGACACTTTGATCTCTCCATCAAAGTTGAAAAAACTATTCAGGGCACAAGAGCGTTCGGTCGCTTTCTCCTTGCCCTCCTCATCAAACAACAACATCGATCCCCCCAACGCTCTCCGCAGCCGAGCCCAGATATCCTACCGGGGGAAAACCCTTCTCAATCTTCTGATCGACTAAAGACCCCGTTGCGAAGATAAAGACACCTAGCGAACTAGCCTCACCTATGCGCCTCGTTAGACTCCCGATCTGCCTACCAAGCATAGCTTCCCAGCACGCAGCGAAAGAGGATCACCTGGCTCTACTCACCTACAGCCGCCCACCCGAGGCTATGCGGCAGGCAGGACGTGTACATCTCCGTCACGGCCATACCAAGGCCTTCATACGAGTCCACGTCCGTCTTGCGGAAAGGCCCCGATCTCTGCGTCGGCAAGTACTCGGCGGGGAAATCAACGAGGTTCACAATCGCTACGGTGCAGCGACCGATCCCTACCCTCTTTCAGTCAGATGAGAAACGCAAGGACGTGAGATGGCGAGGCTGTCATGACCCACGAGAAACATATCTCCGCGGCGTCTCCATCTTTGGCAAGCGTTGCATCGGCTGCGTGCGAGGATCTAGAAATTCATATCGAGTGTTCGGGTTCGAGCAAGAAGCCACGAAGTTTTCGAACTTGTCAGTTGCGGCGCGACAGTCTCGCTGGAAGTGGGAGTCGAGGGTGTTGAAGCCGGTCCAGATTATTGAGGCGCTGCAGTAGGGGTTGGTCCCGGTGTAGGGTAATTGATTAGGAATTTTTGAAGTCTCGTTGCTTGATTCTGGTGATGAAAGGGCGGAGACGCCGGGTTGGGAGGGGAAGCTGATAGCTGCGGCTTTGAGGAGGGAATAGCTGCTATGGATTAGGAGAGCCGGGAAGAGAAACGGTTTCGGTAGCATGATGAAAGATATAAGAAGAGTCTAGCTTGGAAGCATTGAGAGAAGAAAGATTGTGCAATTTGAGCATGGGGAATGGAGAGTTTATGGACATTGGATATCCAATGGGCGGGAAAAGAGCCGGGAGCGGTGCTTGCGCCTTCTAGCCGACAGAGGCCCAAGCCAACTATTCGATTTGTTGATGCCTCAGGAAACAACGTCAGATTGCGGCCTCCAACGTCAAACTCAGGGTTCTGTCATGACTTCTGTTCTGAAAGTTCGTCGAACGTGAATGTCTACTATCGGAAATGCAAAGTTGTAAAGGTCTCATCTGTATATTGACCTTGACTTTAACGACCGATCTAAGGAACCGCTTATCATATAAAAAAGAATTGCCGGCCTAGTTTTCAACTTTACACCAGTATGGAGATTCGAGGGCGTGGGAGCTGCGGTTCATGAGGTACTTGAAACCGTAGCAGATGCCCACGTTGGATGATAGCGCTTTCATTCGCTTTTCCCCTTGGTGCCATCATCAACAAAGTGGAGACAATCTCACCCAGGAATCCTCCATCTGGGATAGCGTTGACGGTCAAATATGACTCATGGCAGTGTTCTCCGTGAGAATAAACGAGTAGGCAACAGCGATTTATTTTCTTCGCATTGCAGTATTGAGGGTGCTTGCCTGTTTCCCCAACTGAACCAAAAAGTCCCCGCGGTCTTCTGCCGAACATGCAGCCACAGTCGTAAACGTTCGTAGCATGTGCAGAAGGGTCAGGGGCAACAAGACGACGTGAGCCTTGGCCGCAATAGAAGACAGCCCGGGTCAGTTGGGTGCTCACTCGAGGCTGCCACTGTTGTGAACAAAAATAGAATACTCGTTCTAATCCAGACTAAAAAACCAGAGGAAGGTATTCCCACTGTTGATTCCCGTTATATTCTCAATCCCAATGGCTTGTAGACCTTTGATAAAGCCAGGAGACAGAGGCTGGTAACGATTGCTGTACGAGACATGGAGAGGGTCACCCGATGGGCTGAATGCGGAGGGATCGACAACATCGGCGCCTGGGCCAAGCGGTTCGTGTTCGGTGGTGTGAAGTTGACACTCTGCTGGAAGTAAGCGATCGAGCCTTTAGACAAGATCAAGGCGACAAGGACCAATTCGAATCAGCTCATATGCTGTGCTCCTGCGCTAGTCTCACCACACCTCTTGCTAATGCGCTCACCCATTATCATCTTCTAATCCAATTGACTTCTGATAGACGTGTGGCACTCTTAGCACATCTCATCTCGTACACGTGTTGCACGATGATCCTTCACTTCAACAACTTCGAAAACATCGGCGCACGGTTCCCACCCCCAAAGCCGCTACCTCAACCGTCAAAGGCACCCGAGCTGTAGCGGCCTTGCTTCGGCAGAAGACCCCGTACAACTTCTAAGCTCGGTCAGTACTGGAGATGCTTCAGCCGGCAGAGATGTCTCTTCAAAGATCTAGTCTTTGCTGAATTGAGGATGCAAGAGCATGTTGGGATGCTTGCCAGCGCTGGGGGCAGCAAGCGTTGGTTCCTCCAGGCTCAAAGGCTAGATGCTGAACGGCAGACTCAACTCGGCAAGTGCAACTTCCTTCCACCGGAAGTACGAATCCAGAACTGGAGATATGTAACCAATGCCAAACGCGACTGTTGCTTCTGGAACCCAGCATCACCTAGTACAATCATGGACTTCCATGATCAAGGCTCCTACATATATTGTAGCATCATACAGAGTATCCTACCGGATATCCATGGCAACGATATCCATCACCGTCAGAGCTTTGGGCCGCCATGCTCGCGGAATTGACCACGTTTGCGTGCCCTTGGTGACTCTTGCTTTCGACGGCGCTGGGTATTTCCTTTTTTTTTGTTTTCGGAATGTGGTCTCAAGCGATTCAACCACGCGCTTTCGCTCCAACATCTACCTGCTAGCTTTGAATGGGTACCGCAGATGGCTAAGCTTCGGAGACATGGTCAAATCGGATAGATTTTGGGGCAGAGGCCTTCAATAGACTACCCAAACATACAAATTCGGTCATTTTGAACCTAGGTGACTACATCAGGAAATCCAAAACACAATTGAAGTTCATGCATATCTCGTACGACGAGGTCGCAAAGAGAGCGCCGGGGGCCGTCGGAGGTAATATCGATCTCTTGTTGTCAGTGGTTGGTGGGCATGGAGTAGAATGTAGTCGAAGGAGTTACGAACAGGAATTGGGAGATAGATATAGCGTGGTCTGATACGCAAAGACTGGAGTGGCATGGGGCACGGCTTCAAGATTATATCTTCAATGGACAGCGGCATCGTCCGTCAAGGACATGGAAATTGTCTTATGCCAGTAATCGCAGATGCTAGACCTCCCAAGGGATGTAGACTTACCTAGATAACTGCCGACGCATTAGATGCCACTGCTTATTGGCGACGCCTAGGTGACCTCCACATTTCGAACTCGGCTGTAAGCTACACGTGAACCCCACCCACTAACAAAACGAAGAAATATACTTCCGCCCAGATCCGCTCAGCCCTGTGCGACTTTCGGGTACCCTGGTGTCACTTTGAACAACTTTTTTTCCGGAGCATCTCCCGGACCAATGTAGTAGTCCCACTTTGGTTCCGAAGAATGACTCACGGAGTTGAGAACACCGTCGACTTTCGGGGAGCAATTCTAACGAAAAGAAAACGCGCTGGAAGAATGTGGGAGCGAATATTTACAGGAACACCTTCCTGGAGAAAGAATGCATGCAGCAAAAGAAAACACAAGGTGCGGTTGTACTTCCTGAGGATATATTTATCTTCAGACAATCGAAAAGGGTGAGAGATCTGCACGCAAATGATTGCGAAACATCAAGTCTGACATGCATAAAATACCACCCACACTTCTAATTATTCCAGCAGTCGGATCCGATCTCTGCATGAATCCTTCGCCTTCTGCCGAGTTGCCTCCACTCACGGAGAATTTCTCATGCATCGAAGATACTACGTTGCGTCTTCAATTTCATTTCAGGAAAAGAAACAGTATCTGTATAGTTGTCTCCGAAGAAGGCAAATCTGAGGCAAATTCGATATGCATTGAAACAATTGCCTAACGCCTTGATTTTTGTACACAAATATTTCCGTCCCGCAAAGAACCGCAATGCGTCTTTACCCTTTCCAGATTTGGATAAAGAAGCCCAAGTCCAGAAAAGAATCGTCCGATATCTCCATAAGGCGCTAAAGGCTGCTTCCTTAGACGCCGGGGCCAAGGGGCAAGCTTCATGAGTCGCAGTGGTGTTACCTTATCCGAGTTCCGGAATCGAAATCCAGCGATGAACCATGAACGACTTCCACCTAGGAGGCAGGCATCATGTCCCAACTCTCAGCTATTCGCATGCTAGTACTCGTTCCCACCCACGGAACCCTAGGGAGCTGTGAGCTGTGAGCTGTGAGCTGCCGCCGGTTATCCAGTGCGCTGCAGCTTTCCGGGTTCGAACAGCATGGTTGCTGTGGCGGATGGCGACAGGACGACTCATAAATTCATGGTCATCGCATCACTTTTTGGTCGCTTTCGCTGCTTCGTGCTTGCCAGCGATGAAGATTGAAATTGTTTGGAAGGTGGATGATGACCTTCCTGATTGATGCTAGCTCAGCTGTAACCGCCGGAGCTAAATGAAGCCAGCGCATAGAAGTACATCTCTCAACTGTGATTCGTCCTGGAACCACTTTCCAATTCGCTCGCTTTTCCCCGCCATCATGCAAGCTTCATCACCGTTGATAGAGACAGCGAATCAGCCATCGCTTGCTGCAAAGCTATCGAAGAAAGCCACGGAAAGTACCGGTTCCGCCCTGCTGTCCGCTTCCCTGATTCGACATCACCTTCCGCCTCCAGTCGAGTATCGAGCATTCACAACCGAGTTCGCCCAATGATACCCTTGCAAGTGTCCCTTTCAGCTGCACCCCCAAATTCCGGTGGTCAAAGGAAACGTGTTGGCGTTAGGACCGTTGAACGTGCGCTGGTTGCGTATGGCAAAAAAAGGCTTTCTAAAGTGGCATGGAGTAGCGCATTTTCCCATCCCACCGCTAAAATGCACATCACATCTTTTCCAAGCGCCAATCGAAATCAATGGGCTACCTATGCACAGAGGCACATCCGGCGCTTGCTCTCTGCGATCCCTCTTGGACTCGGACCCCTCTCCATCTTTTCACCCACCATGCAAGGCACATATACCCACGTCTATCCCAAAGATAGATTCCTCATTCCTGCCCTGAAGGTCCGATAATCTACAGCCTTCTTTCGCATCACTATCGTTATAACAACAATTGCGTCGAGGAGCTGGTATCCTTCCCCGCTTAGATCTCGTTGACTTTCTTTGGCCAATCAGCATAGCGTGGTGTTACACAGCGGTTCAGCACTTTGATCAAGAAGATACCCCATCATAGAAGGACGTTGAGCCAGGAGGCAAGCGACGCAGAGATATATACCCCGACACAGACCAAACGAGCATTCTCCCACCCGTGAAACACCCATCTATCCACCAGTACCACTTGCGCATCCAGCCTTCCTCGAAACCCCCGGTCCACACTCGAATGATAGCACTCCCAAGACTGCGGACAGACCGCCCAAGTCTCATCCTTCTCTGAAGCCGGAACACCTTAACAACAGCTACCATGCCTTCCCTGCGAACCTTCATCCCGCAGGGCACACCCACAATGCCTCTCCAAGACTTGGCGAAACGAATCAATATCAAGATAACGAGCAGCAGCCCACCGGGGTTGGTCGCAGCGAGTACAGAAGATCCATGGTCGAAGTCGGGGAAGTATGCACTCGGCTGGGTATACTTCTCGATCATACTCCTCGTCCTCACATGTGCGATACACTGGTACCATTACTGGACGGACAAGATCAGAAGGGCAACACATAAAGAGGAGGTCATGAAAAAGTCGTCGAAAACATCGTCGCCGGATACAGACTACGAGATGGCCAATTTGCCAACCAATTGCTCGTCACGGAAATTCTTTCCCAGGGACGGTGAGCTGCCGCAGCAGGAACCCGAAGAAGAGCTGCCGGACTACTCGTTTGGACCCTTCAACAACGCGCTTGCGCTTGTTCGATTCGTTTTCTACCGACCCATCCCAGTCCTACGGTACAGGAAACGGGAGTTCCAGTTCCCTGGTCCTGGCGCAGCGTTCATCGTACTCGCAGCTTTGGTCTTTGTGACACTCTACTGCTTTGTACCGCAACCGCTGTACTACGCCAGTATTGGCTTTGGATCTCCACCGTTGGCTATCCGTGCTGGAATGCTCGCAGTCGCGATGATGCCATGGATAATTGCGCTTAGTACGAAAGCTAACTTCATAACTTTGATCACCGGAATTGGTCATGAGCGGCTCAATGTCCTGCACAGATGGGCAGCATACATCTGCCTTTTCTTGAGCTTGATACACACCATCCCTTTCTACGTAACACCAATTTGGGACGAGGGAGGCTTGAACACGTTCAAAAGCTATTTCAACGGAACTCTCTATCCATATAGCACCGGAATTGCGGCTCTAGTTCCTTTGATCGTGCTTTGCCTACATTCGCTACCGATACTGCGGCACAAGATGTACGAGCTCTTTGTGGCTCTGCATGTTCCGATCTCCATTGTCTACCTTGGAATGCTCTTCTGGCATTGCCACAACTACCTAACGTCGTGGAACTACCTATGGGCAACTACCGCTATCTGGCTGGCATCATACTGTGTTCGGCTTTTCTACCTCAACTGGACGAAACCTTGGCGACAGTCATCATTGTTCATTGGCGATTCCGCGGCAGTGACAATACTTCCGGAAAATGCTGTCAAAGTGACGATCCCGACACAGGTCAAGTGGACTCCCGGCCAGTACGTCTATCTGAGGATGCCTGGCATCTCGATCTTCGAGAACCACCCTTTCACCATTGCCTCGCTGTGTAGCAACGACTTCAGGTCAGATTTCGGCGAGGGGCAATACCGAGACATGACCCTAGTATTCCGTCCCTTCGGTGGCTTCACCCGGAAGGTGCTTCAGTCAGCTGTCGACAAAGGGCCTGAACATGTCTATCAAGCTTTTATCGACGGACCTTACGGTGGCATGCGGAGAGACTTGGCGTCCTTCGACACTGTGATCCTATTCGCGGGTGGCAGTGGCATTACAGCAATCGTCTCCCAACTTCTCGACCTCATCAAGAAGATGCGCGACGGCAAAGCCGTGACCAAACGAGTCCATCTGGTCTGGGCACTCAAGCGTCCCGAAACAATGGAATGGTTCAAAGAGGAAATCCGCATCTGCCGGGAGTTTGCCCCACCAGAGACTGTCCACTGCCAGTTCTTCATCACAGCCGCCAAGCGTATGCTGCCCGGCCAGCAGCAGATCCCACCTTCGCCTTCACGACCCTTGCATGACCTTCTCCACAAACAAATCGACAGCACCTTTCAAGGCATCGCCTCGAAACGCAACAGTGCGCTAATTCAAGATGCCGCAGCGGGCGATCCTGAGAAGATGAGGGAACTCCGGGATGAGAATGAAGATGCCATCTCCGCCCTCCCGCACCCAACTTTCCTCCCTCCGCCCAAAAAGGCGTACACTCGCAACAAGCCCTCCCTCACTATACCGACTCAAAACCTGGCACCCGCGCAAGACAAGAAAACATTCGACTTCGGCTTCCCATCCACACCTACCATGCTGCAAAAGAACCTCATGCGCTTCGCCTTCATGCCGGCTTTCAACCCCAAGAAGTCATCTTGGAGCACCGAGTACGGACGTCCGGATATCCCTTATATGCTCAAAGGATTCGAGAGGGAATTCGGTAAGAGGACATGTGTGTTTGTATGTGGGCCACCGAGCATGAGAGTGGATGTACAGAGGATAGTGGCTGGTATGCAGAGGGGTGTCTGGAGTAGTGATAGGGAAGAGGTATTCTTGCATACGGAGAATTATGCTATCTAATGCGAGGCTTAATTGAACCTAACGCTTTGGCTTATGAGTTTAGCGTGGAGTGCTTGGTCGGGGCATATATCGGAGGTGTTCTGAAACCTGACGGCTCATACCCCAGGTTGGTTCATAGACCACCTGCTTGCTGTGTCGAGCTGCATTCTTTCCCTCTCATCTACTTCTGAGCATGATCATTTCAGCATATAGCTCCATTAATCACTACTCTCGTTGATACCTCAAGGCTCCTTACCGCCATGCTGTGCTAATATGCTCCTTTGAAAATCATTCCGCTCTATTGAGCACGTGGTAGCTTGAGCACGTGGAAGTTGGACTGGGGTGCTTCTTGGCAATACAAATCCAACCGACCAGTCATTCCTTCCTCCCAATTCCATCTAGCTCAGCGCAAGAATTCTATCGGGAGGCTATCATACTCTCTTCCACCTGGGCTTTCGCAGACATTGTTATTCCTCAATCAGGATCTGCACATTCTCTTTCCGCTCGCTCATGGTCTCATCCTCACGTCTACTCACTCACTGACTGAACCCTTTCCGGCTTTCCCAAATCAACCCCGTCAGCGCGATTCCCTTGCTGAGGGTTCAGTCTCGGAAACATGGACAATGTTGTAGGTATAGACTTCATCCGTCCTCTGTTCTTGATAGATAGTTTGATTTCTTCTTCAAAATCGCCATTTCGATTGCATAGAGGGTAGCAGGAAGAGTTTCGTCGGCGAGCTAGCTGGGAGGTGAAGTGAAGTGAATAGATGCTTTATTCATATTCGTTCTCAGACACCAAAATGCCAACGTGCGAATCCTCCACAATCTAAGCTCAGAAGGAAAAAGTCACCAAAATAGTCATCTCACCCACTCACCAACGCCCTACTCACCCGAGCCCCACCACACCACCAACGCAATTCGAACCAAACCAATTTACCTGCTATCTCCTTCCCCGTCGCAGCATTTCCGAATCTCGAGGCGGGCTTTTGCTTTGGCCGCGATCATCCTTACTTACTTACGGTGAGTGAGTCCGTCTTTTGCTCGGATGCTCACTCACACACAAAAGAAAGAAGTAGGTAGAGGGGGGAGGGCGCCTCGTGGCGAATCTATAGCTAAGATCCGAAGGACCGAGCGGAGTTGCGGAGTGCTTCAACCAATGACAGACCACGTCACCTAAAAGTGCTCAAACGTCCCGACCGACATCCTCCCGTCCTATCCTATCAATCTTCTCCAAACCTACCTTCTCAAGTACCTAAACAGAGAAGGACCGAGATGCAACGCACCGCACCGCGACGATCTCAACAACAAGCACCAGAGTACGCGACGCTACCGCCCGGGCGCATGATGAATGGCCGGCTGGCAAGGGTATCGAGAGCGCAGGTCCTGCCTGCCGTTGTTGGTCATTCGTTCTTGCATAGGTCCCTAGGAGTTCGTGTCCAGTCCTCCGCGTGGTTGTGAGTGTGGAATCGGCACTTGCGGATTGGAAGGAAGGACGTGGTGGTATTGAATTTGTCGTGGTGAGATCTTGCTTGGATGCGAGCTGGACGTGGCGGGGAGATGGGGGGTGGGGGGTTTGGAGTGTGGGTGGAAGGAAGGGCTGGGGTTGTGATTTCCTGTTTTTTTGTGAGGGGAGGGAGTGGGAGTGTTGGAAGGTCGGGTGGTGTAGGTAGGGATGGAGCGTGGGGTATATGGGTGAGCACGGAGGGCGTAGACGCGAAAACTGCTCAATTACGAGCCACGAGAGTGAGGGTCACGCATTCACCTTTCGGGGTTGATATCAGGATAGGTAAGGTAGGAATCAAAGAAAATATCAAACTCCGTAGATTCCCATCACAAGAAAAGAAGTCTTATCAAGCGGTGCTCGCTCATTCACATATCACCAAACCACTCGCTAACATCAAAAAGATAACCTGGGGTTGACAACGTTCTTCCGAACGTTGTCCCTAAAATCCTCAGACACTGCCGCAGAATACTCGGCTGGGGGAAAAAAAACCTTCGTCACAGCTTTGAGACATCATCATGTCTGGTCGACTCATCAAGAAAAAACCCCCAAAAAAACCCCCTCTCCGCTCCGCCCATCATGGCGACGCACAAAGTAATGGACTCATGCCTCGACTTCGCCCTCCTCCATCTTCTCTCCTCGCCCAACGGCACTCGACACCAGCGGCTTCGGCCAAAACAATCATCCATAAGTCCCTCTCCTCCCTCCTTCCCTCCCTCCTTCCCTCCCTCCCTCCCTCCCTACACAAGAGCACCGCTTGACAGATTTCCTGCTTTCTTCGTTTTTTGCCCGCCTGGTCCTGGCTGATGTGGTGAGAAATGCCTCCCGTCATAGTTGGAGCCACCAAACAGTCAGGATGACGCTTCGCACACTGTCTGCTCTCTCCCGACTGCAATGCGCCAGGAGCACATCAAAGGCAGGCACAAAGGGTCTCGCCTGATTTTCGTTCGTATTCGGACGTTGAAGTTTCCATGCCGCGCAGCACGCAGGGAGAGAGAAAACAGGGGAGTGGTATCAAACAGTGCAGACGTAACTGATACAAGCGCGCCAAAGGCTACCAATGGGTTATGGCTTTGCCGGACCAAAGGATGGCGTGGCGGGAACTTTCGAGTGCGGGATTTCATCGCCTGGGTACCGATAGCGTAAGGGGGATCAACGTGGGAGACGATACGTCCGATCGAGAGATCTAAAACACCGAAAGCACGCAGATCATCAAGTGACCATGACCGCTTCTGCAAGTCTTAAGCATTCGCACTGCTAGATTTGAGAATGGAACACACGTCAGCTGTGATTCTTCGAACTACGGCTTGGCCTCCAAATGCTGGTGCAGGAACCCCCCCCTTCCCCGTTTTTTAATCCCTCAGCTCGCCAGCAATGCGTCCACACGCTCTCCACATCCTGCTTCTCGCCCCCTTCGCCTCGACCATCCGCACTCCAGACTGCGTCCGCCCTTCACCGCCTCCCACTTCCCTCCCTACCATCGCCGACTGCGACAAACTCCTCCAACTCATCGAGGCCGTCGCCCGCTTGCAACGCAACATGCCTCTGACCTGGAGCCGGCACCCGCCTCGAACCGCAGGCCAGCAGTTGCCCGCATATTTCTCCCACGGCGCTGGGAATGAGTGCGAGTTCGTTGTTGACGTGGAGGGGGGGAGCGAAGTAGAGTACGTGGAGGATGTTTTTCCGACGGGGGATGTGGTGTTCATAGGGAGGGATATTGTGCAGACTTGCTTGGTTGGGGAGGCAGGGGCGGAGGAGACGGTTGGGTCGGACGTTGTGGGACCGAGGGAAGTCGTGCGGCTTTGGCTGAGGAAGAAGGGGGTGGAGGGGAAGGCAGGCAGGGCTTTGGACCTGCTGAATGGGACGTTGCGTAGTTTGAATGGGACCGATGGAGCGATGTTGATGAGGACACTGGAAGAAGCGGAGAATGTGAGCGGCATAGCTTGAATTCTGTGTGATTTTCGTTGATTAAATACTTAGATAGAAGTCGCTCAGACGTCAGAGCGCAGCTTTGCCCCATAGCTCGAAAAGTATGGAAAGAAAACTGCAACATCAGCGAGAGAGTGTGTGTGACGAAGCAGTGTACTCAATGCTGCTTGAAATCTTCAAGAATCGGAGACCGCAGGGTGATTAGCGGCATGGCGTCCCAATAGATGTACCGTCACAAAACGAACCGCTTCTTTCATGTAAGATCCAGAGCAGCAGATACAGGAAGGCTTTTGGTCTTCCACAGCCATATGCTGGAGATCAACGAAGACCCAGAGCGGCTTCAGTGTCGCTATAAGACGCGCGACCTGCTTGTGGCTGTGGTGTAAAGGTTTCGAGAAGTCGATGTTCAGAAATCTGGTGTGGCTGGCGATTAGCGTCTTGGCATCTTGGCAAGGCCGCTTTAGCGAGCGAGCTAGCTAAGCAGCAGGCGATAGGTAACTCTCTCTCCACCAGGCACTTGAGTATGGGAACGCTATGGAGTCGCTCTCTGATACAGTCTGGGATGTGGTTCTTTCTGGTACTGGACTACCACAGTCTCTTTTAGCATTGTAAGCATCCAGACGTTGGGGTGCAGAAAGAACGATTTGTCTGACTGACCCAGGTCGTGAAGGGCTTTATCCCGGTCCGGCAAGCAAGTGCTCCACATTGACCACAATGACTACTACGGAGGTGCGGAGGCTGCTCTGAGCTTACAAGAGGTAGAATCATGGACTGATACAGCTGACGAGGGTAGGACCCTTGCATGTCTGTCTAGGCTGTTGCTCAAGCTCAAGCAGGTTCGCCCTTCAGGTATGCTGCGATTAGAAATTTGGCGGGAGAGAGAAAGCCGGAGCCAGGGGGCAATAGCTCTGCGAAGCTGGGCTTTTCCCGAGCATACAGTCTCTCGCTATCGCCACAGTTGATCTATACTCGCTCAAACCTCCTTCCTGCCCTCGTGTCCTCGAAGGTCTATCGCCAACTTGAATTTCTCGCTGTTGGGAGCTGGTGGATATACGAGCATGAAAATGCTCGCGAAGACGCACAGAAAAAAGACGCTGAAGAATTAGAAGCCATATCTTCCACAGTGCGCCTGAAAAGGATACCAGGCGGGCGCGAGGATGTCTTTGCGGACAAGAGCATTGATCTGCGGTCCACCCGTTCGCTTATGAAGTTTCTCAAGCTCGCTGCAGACACGGAAGCGCACGCCTCTTTACTTGAGTTATGGGGCTCAAACCCATTTCCAGATTTCCTAGAATCCCATCTCGGCATCCCACCGCAACTGCAAGCTCCTCTACTCGCCTTGACGATGTCTCCACAACCTCCTGCCAAAACCCTTACATCCTACGCCCTTCCACGCATCCATCGCCACCTCACCTCGGTGGGCATGTTTGGTCCAGGGTTCGGCTCGGTGATACCCAAATGGGGTGGGCTTGCAGAGATCGCGCAGGTGGCTTGCAGGGCCGGTGCAGTCGGCGGTGGGGTCTATGTACTCAAGAAGGGCTTCGAGACGCACGAGAACCCAGATCAGCAGGCCCTAGGGAGAGAGGGCACCCGGCTGGATGATATCACGCAAGTATCCACCGTCCGTCTTGAAGGAGGCGAGGAGATCAAGACTCACTGGATCGTCGGCTCCGATTGGGACCTGCCGTCAAAACTCGAAGCAGTCAGGGGCGAAGAAGCATTTCCGGACTACGTCTCTCGGAGCATCACCATCGTATCTTCGCCGCTCTCGCAGCTTTTCCCCCCTCCCGCCGAGGGCGCGCCTCCGCCTGCTGGCGCTGTCGTCGTCTTTCCTACCGGAAGTCTTGAGCTTGAATATGACAGTGAGAAGCCTCAAATACTCAGGGACGATCCTCCACCAGTCTATTTGGTGATTCATTCAAGCGACACAGGGGAGTGTCCAGCCGGCCAATGTAGGTCTGGTTCTATATTTCTATTTAAGAAGCTCCCTTGCATGATGACCAATACTTATGAATACTTATCTACATTGTCTGCAAATCCATTGAAGATACCATACCTCTGACAGTCTGATCCACCAATTTCTCCCCCTGTTTCTTCCTGTGACACATTCAGCAAAGCACCCGGCTAATTTAAAGCTCCATGCGTTTAGGTGTCATCTACGCCCACACCACCCACCCTGTTTCTCACACCGTCGCCCACTCCCTCCTCCAGAGCGCCATTGATAAGTTCGTTGCCAGTATCGACGCATTCCCCCAGCCTCAAGTCCTGTGGCACCTCCACTACGACCAAAAGCACACCCCTCCCGCAACACTTGATGACTACGACACCAACGTCAAGTGTGCCAAGATTTCTAACCCGCATGTTCTGAAGCTTCCAAATGTGGACCCGGGACTGGTACTGGAGGATGATGTGTTGAAGCATGTAAGGGCTGCGTGGCGGAGGATTGTAGGTGAGGATGAAGGGTTTATGGTCTTTGGGGAGAGGGAGGGGATGGGGGAGGAAGGATTCGAGGATGGCGATGGGGAGATGTAAGGGAATTTTGCCAATGACGTGCACAACTATTAGAGGGGGAAGGAAGATGGTGATGGAGAAGTGTAAGAGTACTTCTACCTTGCCCATTACTGTGCACAATTTCCAAACACTCTACCCATTCCAGGACCTCAATCGCAGAATCAGACAGCCCCAGTCAAAGCAGAATCTCACATAGTAAATTCAATGGTATCGAACATGGCTCCGTAGCGGCGCCAGACCATCATAACCGATGATCCGATGACACGAAACCATCACACAACCTCGCCATGCATGAAGGGAAAAAAGACGACCCCGTCACGTCATGATCCATAGCTCATAGGACATGCCGCCTTCCCTACTGCATCCCTCGATCCCCCTCCTCTCTAAGCTGTTCCCCCTCCTCCCTCCTCCTGCTCCTGTTCTTCCTCATCGATGGTAGTAACACCTACAACAAACACAGCTTAGCCCGCCCTCCTCTCATCAGATGGAACGAAAGGCTCCTTACTACCACCATCACCACCACCAACACGCTCCACTCCCACCCCTGCACCCGCCCCCGCTTCCTCAGCGCCCGTCCTGGCGTCTGCGTCTGCGGTCGTAAAGTCAGCACCACCGCGCCTTGTTTTATCTAATTACATGGAAGGAAGGGAGGGAGGAATGGAGAAAGGGAGGAGGGGAGGGGAGGGGAGCGCTGGCTACATACCCTCCTCACCACCATTCACGAAGATGAAGGGGACCTCTTGGGGCCGTTTATACTGAGCCGCCAGAGCGGCTTGTCTGATCCGCTCGAAGTCCTCGTCCTGTGTGGGTATTAGCTGGTTAGGGAAAGATGGGAGGAGGAGGAGGAGGAGGGGGTGCTGTGGACCGTGGGTGCCGGGGCTGAACGGGAGGAGGCGATGGATGCTTGGTCCGCTGGTGCTGGAGCTGGAGCGGGTGGTGTTGCTGCAGGGCGACGTCGGAAAACGCGACGCAAGAAGCGACGGAGTCTTGTAAATGCCATTATGGTTGGTGAGGGTGAGGATGTAGGTGTGGGTTGGAAAGGAATTGCAATGTTGGTTGGTTGGGAAAGAGAGGGTTGAGAAGGTGTACTGGGTTTTTTTGATCGTGATGTTGAAAGGAAATGATTGTGTGTCCTATATTCATAGAGGTCAAGCCGCGCTGCGGCTTGACTGCATGATTATGCTGGTGAAAGGAAATGAGTATGTGTCCTATCTTAATCGAGGTCAAGCCGCAGCGCGGCTTGACTGCTGCATAGAATCAAACACATTGGCACTTACCTTCATTGATGTCAAGCTGTCACTGCGGCTTAACCTTTGCACCTTGGAGAACAAACAGGCACCACAGTGCACCAGAGGCTATTCGGCACCTTCTGGCATGGATGAGTCCACTTCGGGAAACGGCCGTTTGGCCAAGGTAAGACAGATTGAGAGGTTGGGCGACGTGATTCTGATATGTGCAGTATTTTTATATAACTTCAATACTTTCCACTTGTATTGACAAGACCATTCTTCTCATTCTCTGCTTTTGGTTTCCTACTCCATTCCGGTGCCTCGTCTTTCCCATTCTCCTCTTCCTCATCGCCCTCTTCTTTGGTTTGGTGCAGGGATTGGGGGTTATGTTCGGCGGGGGAATAGATTGTGTAGAGGATCTGGGGGTGGTGCTGTCAGTTTGTGTATTTTTCTTTGTCGAGAATAGGAGGTGCATAGGAAGGAACAACGAAATACCAGTGGAGTAGGGCCAGTATTGACGAATTGATGCTGGGTGCCAGCCGGTACCACCATGAGGTCTCCAGCTTTGACATCTTGGTCCTTGCCAGCTATTGTGGCTTTGCCAATACCAGAGGTGAAGGTCAAAGCTTGGTCGACAGTGTGAACCTAATAGGGATAGCAATCAGTCTCTCTACTACAGCACTAGGGCAATAAAAGCAAGCAATGAAGGAACAAGAGCCCACCTCGTCTCCAATCTCCCCGTCCACAGGCACAGTCATGAGTACGACCTGCGAGTACAACCCTGTCCACAGCACTCTCCGGAACTCGCCCGACTTGGACGGCAGAGCCGAGGTCATTTCAGGGAAGTAGGCCATCTCGTGCTTAGGGGGCCCTGAAGGCATCTTGGGGTCTTTGGCGGAGTGGATTGCTGACTGCGAGAAGGCTTTCCTTGCTGGGACTGAGGCGAGTTGTTTGGAAGACAGTCTAATGATGACTCGAGGAATAACAGTCTTTAGCATTGTCAATAAGAGAAAAGTGGTTAAAGTAAGTAACGCTTTGAGGATGATGCAATTCGTGGATGGAAATGACGTCCATGATCGTTATTCCTTCTAGCGCCCTAGGGCTTGATTTTCCATCTTCACCTCGCATCCATCATTCCTCTTCTCTCTTCTCTCTTCCACTAACTATACACTGCCTTCATGCTGATGTTTGAATCCTGTTCTGATTCCTGATTCAAAGTCGATGCTGTTGGAAGGGACTGAGAAGAAGTGCGAGTACGAGCAAAGGAGTGAAGTGCCATCTCTAGGTGCTCATTTATAGCGCTGCGCTTGGCAACGTCCCCATAATTTCTTGCGGTGCCAATCTGGACCTGTCATTTTGCCATTGATTATCCTTCTCACAGTCTGCTGTTGAACCCGGTTTCACCTTTTGCGTTAACAGTGATACAAATCGCAGACTTGGTATTCTTAACTTGCAGCTGCCTCACTGCCCTGCCAAGACCTATACTACGAGGCGCCGCGGCCCTTGCAATGACTTGTTTCAGCGAATCCTTCGTCTCGTTCGTTCTTTCGCGCCGCAATTGTTATTTGGATCAAGCAGCTTCAATTGGCTTTAAAACCATACCATTCAACATAGTGCGTTTCTCATATCCGGGGAAACTGAAAAGCGTTGCATTGTGGCCTGCATATTGGGGCTGAAAGATTCCGAGACCGTCACTGGCCAATCAGACCCAGGAAGCAGGCGCACTCTTCTCCCATTGGTCAGTTGTAGTATACAATATCTTGAGGCAAGTCACAGCTAGCACCGCTAGTACTTTTCTTCTCCTTACCTTCTTATATACGGAGTCACATCCAGCATGGCGTTCTCTCAACATCTTCGAGTCCTGTCCTTTTCACTTGCGGTTCGTGATCTAGGATTTTGGCTTCCGTGAAATGGAAATCGTTGCGTATTTTATGCTTTACGTAGCTACAGTGAATGCAGCATTCTTTACTAATCAGAGTTCTTTGAGTGAAGACTCACGGCATTCGTTCAATGCCTCCAAACCGAATCAGGTTTCCTTAAACGGCAAATGTTCAGCATATGTTGAATAGCTCCAAACCGAGTCAAGTTTCCGCAAAAAGTAGTAACGAAAATTCATCTAGTCTTTATGACCCAAAGGACTTTGTCGATTGTACTAAATGTGAGATTCAAGTACCCTTCACTTCATCCACAGGCGAATTGACGCTCTGCAGACTCAGCAGCAGAGCTTGCCAATGCCACCATTCCAATGCCATTCGAAGAGTACTGGTGTATTCACGTTTACCACACGCCATCAGAACAAACCGCTGTCGCGGATGACCTTCAACGATCCTTTGCAAGAAATTTAGGCCAGCTCTACGGTCTCGATCCTCCCACTAAAAGTTTTTGTCTGTCTGTTGAGAAAGAAAATTATACTAGCTTTAACGCTACTGGCCTGACTGAAAGACAATGGTGGCCCGTGTACACTACGCCGTGCTGCGATGTTACTTCCTGCGCAGTGCAGGTTGCAAATGCGCAGATGCTCTGTTGGCCAACCCCTGCCCCAGTCCCAGGGGTATCTACTGTTGTTGGGTCCGATGGGTTTATCTAGTGAGTGTGGTAGGACCCCCTCCTTTGGGACGAGCTGACAACCAACCTTAGCACCTCTCCTTCCGTCTACGTCCTCTATACTAACATCTCCGCAACAAATGACTGTACAAGTACTATTGGTAATACTTACGGCACCACAACTCTTTCGTATGCACCTTCCGACCTGCATTCCATGGAATACAATTTCGCCCTCAGTGGCACCACCGGCGTCTCCGCTATCGGCCAGAAGTGGAATACTATCAACTACGCAAACTTGGTATCGAACTGCACTGGCCTCCCTTTCCATAACCCCAGCTGGTCTGATGGCAACGAAGTGTGGCAGAGTTGGATGTACACCCTCAAACATTGCTACCCGCTCCTCCAAGATTCGCCGGCGCTAGGACTGGTGGATCCGGCTTGGGCGAGGTGTGATCAACAGATTGCGATGTATGACCCTCCCCGGGCTCTGGTTCCGGGGAAGGCTTTAGGTCCTGCGCCACCAGCCCCAACGCTATCCCCGGTCAGCTCACCAGAAGGTGATCCACCAAGTGACAGTTCGAACGACCCAGCGGCTGCGAAGGATTCAGCCGCCAACGATCCACAAGCCAACATTGATCCTGCCGCTGCGACTCCTGCGCCTGCCAAGGATTCAGCTAGCGGTGGTCTAAATACGGATAGTGACCCTGCCAATGTGGAGCCAAAGCCTGCGAACGACCCAGCGTCTGCGAAGGATTCATTCAACAGCGATTCATCCATTGTGCCTCAAAACCCCGAGAGTGACCCTGCAGACGAAAGTGAATCTCAAAACATGGACTCGCAACCTGCTGAGCCTGCTCCGGTACTAGCACCCTCCGTGACCACTATCGCTGGCCATAGCATCCAAGTACCTGCATCTCAATCTATTGTAGGTGTAGTCCTCGTCGATGGTCAGTCCATCACAGCCGGACACGATACAACAACTGTTTCAAGTACACAAATCGCTCTTCACACCAATGGTGACCTCGTTCTGGGTACTTCCACGGTTCACAACGTTCTTCCCTTTGATGCTCCAGCTCCGGCACAAGCGCTCTTTGTCACCACGGTTGCAGGCCACAGCATTCAAATCGCCCCGTCTCGGTCCAACGTAGTCATGGTCGATGGTCAACCCGTCAGCGCTGGCGCATCTCCGACGACCGTATCCAGCACACACATCGCCCTCCACACCAACGGCGACCTCGCATCAACCATCCACAACATCCTCCCCACCGCACCTCCAGTCCCACTGTCCTACTTCACAGTCGGCAGCCAAACCATCACCCTCTCCTCATCCCGGGATCTTGCCGCCCGCACCACCCACGCAGCCGGAGACCCAGGCTTCGCAGTCGACAGCACCATCGTCTCTCTTGGTTCCTCAGCCCTGCACATAGGCTCCAGCACCATCCCCATCACCCCACCCAATCCTGCACTGCCAGCAATCATCACCACTGCTGCCGGCCATCTTCTCACTCTCCTCCCGAGCGGCATAGTCGTCGCAGGTACCACCCTAACAGCCAACGCGCCCGCCATCACAGTCTCCTCCACCCTGCTATCATTCGGACCCAATGGCTTCGTAGCCGGCACATCAACAACCCCGCTCGTCCTCCCCGCCTTCCCATCGTCCTCAGTCTGCACAACCCTAGGCCAAACCTTCACAGCCCTCCCATCCGGCACCATCGCGGTCGCAGGCGTGACGCTCACATCTAACGCGCCCGCCATCACTGCCTCCGGCACACTCATGTCGCTGGGCGCCAATAGGTTTGTGAACGGGACGACCACCATATCGTTACCGAGCGTTGAGACAGCTTCGCCAAGAGGAGGACTGGGGGGGTTTAACTACTCAGAAACCAACAGCGCATCAAACACAACGCAAACAAGGCCCGACAGTAATCCCGACGTCTTCTCCGGAGGCGCGGACCGAATCGCGTTGAGAAAGAGTCTTTTATTTGGTGCGGCGATGCTCAGTCGGCTGTACTCTACTGCGTCGTGCGATAATCCGGTGCTGCTACCTGGGATGGATGGACTCCTGAATGAGGACGAGGCTGAGAAGAGAGAGAGATTGCTCATGGAGCGGAAAGGTAACAACATTGCGGTGGCTTCGAGTATCTTGCATGGGGCGCCTGCGAGCTAGATGGTCCAGCGTTCGAGATGACAAAGGGTGGTTTGGCAAAGAGTCGATGGAGATATTGGGGGGATAGGTCGCGGAGAAGGGAAGGGGAGGGAAGGGAAGGGAAGGAAAGGGACAGCTCTCGGAGAAGGGAAGGAAAGGGACAGCTCTCGGAGAAGGGAAGAAAAGGGAAGAGTGTATACAGAATCGAGCAGCGTACCCCGTATCTACATCTACGGGTGCGAGGGAAAAGTCGCAGTCAGCAAGGATAGCACGTCTGGATCCATGATCGAGATCCGTCAATGTGATACCTAATTCCTCCGCTCCTCCTCCTCCTCCTCCTCATCCAGAGTCAAGTGCTACATACATAGTATAGGTATATAATAATAATGATGCAAGGACTACATAGCACAGGTAACATAATAATAATGATGCAAGGACGTTCGTTACCCCAGATTGCATAAGATGAATCCATGAGAAACCAAAAAGAAAATCGGCACCCTCGAGATCGAAAATCGAAATTTTCAACTTTCTTTTCTATATACCTTCAACAACTATGATTGATTATCATCTAGAAAGGTTATTAAAATTCAATGAATATAGTATAGTATAGATTCGATTATAAAGTTTTTAAAAGATTTAAATATTTCGTTATAACTATTATAAAGATTGAGGTTTTGATTTTTGATTTTGGGGTGTGCCAGAATTAGGCAGACTTTTTTTTTCTCTCATCAAGGGTTATGCAATCAGGGGTATACATCCCCGAGCCGTGAGGCCTCCTCTATATATCCTCTCCTCCATAATATATATATGCGTCGCGCAGGATGAAATAGGCATTCCCAATCCCCACCCTTCCAAAAAGGGAGGTCAATCCCCATCATCCAAGCCATGCTTGCTTGAACCCAACCCCCACCCTCCACACCCATTATCTCGCGGGTCCCGTACATCACCCGACACACATCCCCCCCCTCTCCAAACCAAAATCGAAAGAAAAAACCCTCCCTCCCAAACGCCCACGCATGCACGACCGCCAGCCCAACGCAGCAAGCCGACCCGATCGAACCGAACAGAACAGAACACAAACCCCAGCGACTCATCCTCACCCTCCCCTCCAATCCGGACCCTCCCTCCCCCGCGGCCACTGGCGCAGCTGGAACCCGGGCTCCTGGACCCCGCTTCCCTCCTCCAAAGCCTCATCCCCCTTGCCGGGCCCGTACATGAGCCAACTGACGCCTTTGCGATCGCCATAGCTACCGTTCGCGACGGGCCCGCCACCGCCACCGCCACCGCCACCGTTGCCGTCGCCGTCGTCGGTGCGGCCACTCGACGCCAGGCCCCATCGGTCGCGGTACGACAACTCGAGCTGGTCGCGATAGGTGGGGCCGTCGAGGCGGGTGAAGTGGCCGTGGACGGGCGAGGCGACGGTGGCGCTTGCGGGCTGGGAGGAGGAGGTGGTGGTGGTCATGGGGATCTTTTTGGCGCTGGGGGTCTTGTTGGATCGGGGGTGGGGGGGGACGCCGGTGGAGAAGAGGCGGTTATTGAAGAGGGCGCCTGGATGGGACGTTAGCGGCTGATGTTGGGGGGTGGAGATTTGAGGGTGGAGGGATGGATGGATGGATGGATGGATGGATGGATGGATGGATGGATGGATGGATGGATGGATGGATGGATGGATGGATGGATGGATGGATGGATGATCGGATGGATGGATGGATGATCGGATGGATGGATGGATGGATGAGGGTTGTTGTGGTGGATGGGTGTATAACACGGGACGAAGATGGGGGGGGGGGTGAACTTACGCATGATTGGAAGGCAGGCGGAGATGATGCCGACGCTCGGCTCGACGGAGGACCATGTGAAGGCGATTCCGAGACTGTAGGTGGGGTCTAAGCGTCCCGCGGCAACCAATTTGACAATGCGGACGATGGAGATGGCGCAGACGCTTTTGGAGGGGGGGGGACGTTGTCAGCGAGGCTGATACAATCAGGAAGGTCATCGATCGATGTCGGGGTGTGTTGATGGAGGCTTCTCGAAAAGTGAACGACTTACAAAAACCCCAGCAGAAAAACCCCGGTCAACGAAATCTTCTGCGCACGGTTCGTTCTTAGTGACCAAACCATAGGCATGGGCAGGCACAGGACCATGATATCGGTGACAAGGTTACTGACACCCGTGCCGATGGAGAAGGTGAAAGTGTCCATGCATCTTGCCGTCTTGACATTCTTTACGTGAAAGGCCCAGAAAGCGTTTACTGGGACGCATTGAAAGATATCAGCGAACAAGACGGCCATCCACCAGGCGACGACGACGACGGCGGCGGTGTAGACGGCGAGTCGAAAACGACGCGAGGGAGAGAAGAGACGGTAGTAAAGCAGGAGTAGGGACATTTTGGTTGTGGCGTTTGTGGTAAAGTATAGGGCGAGACTTGCCAGGCCGTTCTAGCAATCATTCGTATGAGCGTGATGTTCGACCGTTCCGGCAGCATGAGATGATACTCACTTTTTGAAAGTGGAGGAGTTGATCCTTTGACAGGGTGAAAAAGTGTTCCCCGAGTCCCCATAGCGCCGCAGCAATGATTGTATCTATATTGAGGCCGTAAAGAAAGACCTGGTCACGCGGTTAGAAGATTGATCCAAAGATGCCGATGCGTGAGAGAGGTTTTATTCACCAGTGCGAGCACAATCGAGTAGTCACTGGGTTACAATTTCGCCGTCAGTATTGCCTATCTCAGAGGAAATAGCAAGGCTCGGAAGATGACTCGAGCATGGAGACTCCAACACTCCAATTTCGGTCTCAAAGAGAAAACATGGAGTCCAGAAATACGTACTCGTAGGAGATGGAAGCCTCCGACTTCCTTCTTGCTACAAAACGAAAAATGACAGCTATGGTAGCAAGGACGGTGACAGTAATGACGGCACCGTAAATAGCTCCGGTTTCTGCACGGCCAGGGTCCCCTGGCGGAATGAGTCCTTCAAAATGATCGGCCATGACAGTGCATAGAAGACAATTGAGGATGAGGGTTGGAAGAAGGATGCAAGAGAAAGGGGGAAGCGAAAGCAATGGTGTTGTTGAAAAAGATAAAAGATGGGGAGCAAGTGAAATAGGAATATGGCACATGGCGGGTTGACGTTTAAAGATACAAATAAGGTTTGGAAAGCACATGGCTGCACAGACTCGCTTGTAGTGGAAGTTCCTGAGCTACGCCGCAGCGCCACCCGTCATTATGGATTCATGCTGGCTTTTAGCCTTCAAACCAAGCGAATATGCAAGGAATAGAGAAATATGCAAGGCTCCCAAACGGGTTCAAGCTTATTAATCTGTGTCAATTGTCAAACAGTTTAGCCCAAGAGCAGCTGCGACTTCCAGGCGGGGAAGGTTCATGCAGCGACAGGCATATTCATGCCGATATCACGAACGGTGGGTCCCGGAGGTAGTGTCAGACTTGCATTGCGTCGATGCGAATGACGAGTCCTTCGCAATCGAGAAAGACGTCGAAGCATTGAATGCAAGCCATTCCATTCGATTGACCAGGCCCTGAAAATGCCCTAATGCAACTTAATTGGCCTTAAAAAATACTTTGTCTCTAAGCGAGAAGGCTTCAATAGACTATGTAGACTTTCTAACCTGGCTTCAATCTTAGCGCCTTCCAGCACGGGATTCCGGGGAAAACTGGGAGACCCTGACGCCCTGCCAAAAGTAAGCTTTTCGCGACTCCTCATTTCCGTGCCGGTATCCACCCATCAGCCTCTCGCCCATGTATTGTGATCACTTTTTCGCTTTTCAAGGGACTGACAAAGCCAAGCGGGGTCCATCAGCAGGACTGGTTTGACTCCATTGTCATCAGGATGAGGCTGTGGGTTCTCAAGTCTCAAAGTATCAGTATGAGTACGGGGAGTACTATGCTCTCGCATGCAAAGTGTTACGGGCACATGTAGTAGTCCACTAGCTCTCGTCCTATCGCCGTTCCCTTTGAAGTGGATGAAATGAGCTATTCCAGCCCAATCGCCAGCTGTTTTCCCCGCTCACGAGTCCCGATGCTGCCGTGGGTTCGGAGCAGGAGCAGGAACAGTCGTGCTGAACTTAGTTCTATAAGCTTCATAATTTACGTTTTGAGGTTGCCGTCGTAATGTGGAGCCGGCGTGTCAAGCGTCGCTAGCCCTGATGTAGCAGTAGTAAGAGTAAAGGGTCGTCCACCATGACGGTACTCGTACTATACCTGCCTCAACGACTCTGTCTGTCATTGTATATCAGGACCTGGCTTGCCTGCTTTCCTATGGCCTTCCAGCATCTCTTTCACCTTCCCGCGGATGTCAGTTTTGCTGACACGTGAGACTCCCCTTTCACGGATGATCTGGTGCTCATCTTTTCATTTGCTTGTGCATTTGTCAGCCTTCCCTTGTCTGTCGATACAGATCATGGCTTTTGAGGGGAAAAACGGCTTGAGTAGGGAAATTATGTGTCTTTCATATCACAAGCGGAGCAGCTATCAAAGCGCTAACCTTTCAACCCGTTGTTGATGATGTTGCTTCCACCCGGGTGACAGAAAAGCCTGGACACTAACCTGAAATAAGCTAGGAGATCAAAGGCCGTCCCACATACAATTTCACACCCAAATTTCCCCCTCTAAGTTTATGAATGAGTGTGTAATTAGTATGCCTGAAAGAATCTAGGCTGTTCTAGACGGTGATGGACGAATGACATTGACAGGCTATTAATGGAGAAACATGATACTTGCGCATAGAAATTTGCTGGGGAAGGCCGTAATATCCATTTAGTTAGTCTCCAGGCTTTTCCGTCACCCGGGTGCTTCGTAGCAGTACCTTACTGGTGGTACATGTAGGGCTGAGTGCGGATTAAGAGTCTTGGCATCGCCACCTGGTCACCCTATCACCAAGTCCATCAGATTTCTTAGAATCTCTTTTGGCCCATAGCACAGTCCTCGGAACGACTGAATACTGAGACGGGGCTTATGTTTACGTGGGGAGAACACCCATTACGAGCTTGATCTCTGAGCGGATTCAGTTGTATTTGTCCATTGACATGCTCCTCCAGCTCTCGCTGAATATTCAGGCAAGTTCACAGTCTGAGAATATGCAAACACATTGCACACAGGCGCGAGCTCGTTGGTCATTTACGACAAGAGGGTATTTTTCTTAAGTGGTCCTGAAACACTGCTGTGCATAACAGATATCAACTGCCAGTACAGGCCGATGAAATAGTCTAGGTATCACCTCTTCTTATAGTATCCCTCTACCATGTGACCCTGATGAATATGTAAGCTATACATCTCCAAGCCGTCAGTTGCTCGGAAAGCGACTGGTTCAGAAGATCACTCGATGCGCAGTAAAGCCAAGCATATCAGCTCCCCACTGATTACGCAGCTGTCGACTCTGAGTATATCTCTCTCCGTGACCTCGCTTGTGACTCAATCGATCTTTTCTCAGGATATCATGTCCCGGCCAATGACAAGAGCACACCCTTCCTGAAAAGTTATTGTCAATTAATCCTGATAAATCAATGGATGTTGTCGCCGATGTTCAGGATGGCTCTGTGCTGCAGTTCGACGATAAAAATGGTGCCGCGGTCAGTGTGTACAAGAGCCATATCTGCCTATTTGGGACGGTGGCACTGATGTTGGTGATATGGATCAATTGCATCAGTGGTAGAAGCCGTTACAGTATAATTCTAGGTGCTGAGGTGACCAGATGGCGACGCCAAGACACTGCTAGGGGTTGTCTCACGCTGCAGCGCTAGAAGTGCTAGTTGTCAGTGCTAAATGTGCTAGATAACGATACAGAATCGCAGCGGCAGATTCCAGCAGCACGAGAGTAGGTATTTTGAACGAAGAGGCTCTTTTGCTGGTTACTGCCATCTGCCGTAGGAGCTTAAGATGCGATACTCTAGTCGTACTGTCGTGGCATTGATCATCAATACCTTTAACAACGCACAAGGCACTGCTGGTCAAGTGCCAAGTGATGTTCAACAACCTGGCGATGGAAGTCCACTCTTCAGCTTCCAAGATGCGGAATCTGCATATGCAGGCAGATACATTGAAGCCCAGTACAATTACAGCCCGTACGGCCGAGGCCTTCTTTTCACTGCCGGCTGCAACTATGCGGTGCCAACTACGCCGCTGGTTAACGACTGTACGAAAGCCTGTCAGAACAACAGCCAGATTTTCTCTGACCCGTACACGATGCAAAATTGCATGCTGATGGCCTCGCTCGCCCCCATCAGTAGTGGCTCTATTGGTGTTGATAATACCTGGGTATGCAGTTACTGCTATAATGAGACTTATCACTAGATATAATAATCTTAATGATGTCTAAGGAAGAAGAATCCTATGTATAGGAACGGCCTTCATATACCAATGACTAGGCCGAATGAGTACTAGCGTAAGCGAGTGTTGAGTTACCGACACTGGCAAAAACCGAAAAAGATGAGGCTACTCGCATGCTATAAAAACATTCCTTCTCCGTAACCTCCATAACTGCAATTGCTTCTCTTACTGCAGTAGACGTAGATCTAATTATGCTAGGCGTATTTCTAATAGCAATAAGAGAGATATAATTAATCGATATCTTATCTCCTTAAATTTATAAGATCTCGATAATCTTCCGTCGGAAAGGCCATGCCCTCATGGCCAAATCCCTAGACAGCTACATCAAGAATACAGGCCTGTAGCCTTCCGCCTCTCCGTATCACGAATATAACCAAGCGGAGAGGCGAGCCAAGAAGCGAGAAAATAAGTATACTGGGAGGCGAAAAGTGGAGCGAGAAAATAAGTATACTAAGAGGCGAAAGGTGAACCGAGATTACTAAGCGAGAAAGTAGGCTCTCTAAGAGTCGATATAGTACATAGATGTAAAACCGCAGAGAGTTGGCTCGTGTTGATAGGGCTGCTGTCTTAAATAACTTAATAGAGTAAGAGTAGTAGGTGTGGGACTCGGTAATCTAAATCGTAGTTTATAGTAAGAGGGGAAAGGAGCGTAGTGGTATCCTCGACAATTAAAGTGGGGGGAGGGTGAATTAAAGTGGTATCCTCAGGCTGTTGTTGCTGAATTGACTGCATTGGCTGTTGTTGAGGCTAACGTAAAGGATCGTCGCTTGGGGTTGGAGGGAGGATCGGAGTAGTATTCTCTGGTTGATAAGGCGGTTGCGGGGGGAGAGGAACAGTGTTCTCCGGTCGATAAGGCTGCTGATAAGGCTGTTGCGGGGGGAGAGGAACAGTGTTCTCCGGTCGATAAGGCTGATAAGGCTGCTGCGGCTGAATTGGCTGCTGCTGAGGAGGGTGATATTGTTGGTGCTTTGGTGGAGGACGATTCTCGTCATCCAGTGGCTATGGGGTTTCTTCTTAAACTATATTCGCCAATGATTCGGCTATTAAAACCCCTCGTTCTTTCTTAATATAGACTCCATTATTTCGTAGGCAGTTTCATAAACCATATTGCTAGTCTTTAGAAAGGGCCTCAAAGTCCTCTTTAGCGAATTGTCGAAATTCCTTAGCAAAGATATCGGAGAGAGACTCCCATCATCTGCAAATCTAAAAAGTTCCTTTCCGCACGATTTCCGTCGGGTTCGTATTATAAGCATAATTTAGCACGATTTAGTCTATTAAGTAGACTTTATCTATATCTAACCCTTTTCGCTAATTTAGTAATTAAATATAATAAACTTCGCGTTTAGTAAGCTAAGATAGTATTTATTTAAATTAACTAGATTTTAAAGCGATTATAAGCTATTAATTTAATAGTATATATCTAAAAATTCGAGAAACTATATATAAGATAGGTTTTCTAAATTATTCGAGTTAAATAATATTATTAGTAATAATAATATTTATTAAAAATTTAATTCGATTAATTAAATATATATTAGAAAGATTTTTAAGATTATTTAAGCTAGATAGTATTATTAATTATAATAATATCTATAAAAATTCTAGATTAGCTAGTCTCGCTAGTAATATTAATATTTATAGCGTATTTAAATTAAATAATATTATCGATTATAATAACGTCTTTAGAGTATTTAATTTAAATTAGACTCGATATCTCTAGGTATCTAATAAAAATTATCGATTTAAGATTTATCGCGATATCTTATTATAATATTAATAATATTTATAATCTCTAAAATATAGATTTTTAAATAATTAGAATTTTAAGCGTTATAGCGGTGCTTAATTCTCTATTAATTCTTATTTAATTCGCCTAGTAAATAAAGAGACTAACTCTCTCTATTCTATCTACTACGCTATATATTCTTTATATTTTTCCTCTTTATTTAATATAACTTTATTAATTTATAAATACTTATTCTCTTTATAGATCGCCTCTTTTTTTATTTACTATAGTAAAATTATAGATAATATATTAAAGTTTAGTCTTTTTTATTTATTCTCTCTACTTATCGAGATATAAAGTATTTATACTTTAAATTTAGAGAGATTTAAGTTCTAATTATTATTTATTAAATCGATTTTTTTCTATTTAGTTATTTTATATATTAATTATTTTTTAATAATCTATAAGATTTTTTTATTATCTTTAGATTTAAATTTAATCTCTTAAATAGTTTAATATTAGTAAATCTTAATATAACTTTTTTTAAAATATTTACGAAGCTCGATTTCTCGATAATATTATCTAGCGAATTCTTATATAAGTTATTTAATTTAGAGGGTCTTTATACCTTTCTTACTAATTTAAAATATATCTTTAAAATATATTATCGTAATATATAATATATAATAAATCTTTTCTATTATTTTATATCTCTCTAGAACTTCTTAATATATTTATATATTTCTAAAAAGTATTATAATTATATAAGTAATAAAATAATAATAAAAAGCTTACCTTCGACTTTCTTATTATTTTATCTTTTAATATAAAAATATCTAGAATTATAATTCTTTAAATTATAATAAAAGATAATTATTATAAAAATTATAATATTATTAAATAAGAGTAATTAAAAATACTTACTTCTTTATCTAAATTTAAGAGATACTCTCTTATTATAGAAGAAAATTTTATATAATAATATAATTATTAATTAAAATAAGAAGTATTTTTTATTCTAGAGATTATTAGCTAAAGAAATTAATTAATCTAAATTTTATAAAATATATTATATTCTATCTATTTTATAAATCTTAATATATAAATTAAAGATTAATTAATAAATTATTAATTATTATTTTTAGATCTTTAGATAATAATATTATATAAATCTTAAAATAAGATTAAATAATATCTTAAATTTTCTTTATTAGAATTAAACGAAAATCGTCTATATAGTTAAAAAGCTATATTCTTATTAAAAAGAGCTTAAAGTATTAATAATAATAATTAATTAAAAGTATTAATATCTTTCTTATCTTAAAACTTATAAATTAATTATTAATACTTTATATAAATCGAGTATTCTTATAAAGTTATTATCTCTAATCTTTTTATATTTTAATTATTATTTAATTAAGCGCGTTAATATAATACTTTAATTAGAGACTTAGCTCTTAAAAATCTAGATATTTAAAATTTTTATTAATTATAATTATTATAAGTAAGATAATTCTTATCGCTTTAAATATATTAAGATACTCTTTCTTAATATTATAATTATACTCTTTTTATTATATTAAATTATTTTAAAGCGTAATTTAACGATTATTTTTATTTAAATTATCTTATAAAGTATAATCTATATATCTTTCTTTATTCTAATTTATTAATAATATATAATTTAATATTATTAGAGATATTAATAAAGCTTTAAATTTTTTTATTTTATTTAATAGACGTATTAGCGAGAAGCTTAAATAAGCTATATATTAATAATATAACTTTAATATAATAATATCTAATAACTTTATTTAATATAATACTTTTTAATATTAAATTATCTATAATAATTTAGTTATTATTCTACTATATTTAGAATATATATTTATTCTTATATTAAAGCCCTATATAAAGTACTCTAGCTTCGTTATTATAAAGACGACTTCTCTTAATAAATTATTTTCTATTTTAATTTAATATATATTTATTAATTTAGATATTTAATTATATAGTATATTCTTATTTCGCTTTATTAATTCTAATTCTTTATCGCTAATAAGAATTATTTTAAATTCTATAATTTATATTAGCTAGTTTATATTAATATTATTTAATTCTAAAACTAACTAATTAATAATTAATATTACTATTCTTTATCTTAGATTTAATAATTTTAATACTTAATCGAGGTTCGAATAAAAGTTTTTCTATCGCTTTCTATTAAGATATTAATTTAATAGAAGATATAAATTAAATAAGAATATACTAAATTTATAATCTTTATCTTTATCTTCGATTTTAAAAGAGAAATCTTTTTTAATATCTATAATAATATATAAAATTAAGAGAATATTATTAATATTAAGAGAAGCTTTATTATATATAATAATTATAATTATTAATAACTTCTTTATCTTCTATAGACTAATAGAGTTATTTAAGAATTTATTATTATCGTAATTAAATACTATATATATACCCTTCTTAGACTTATATATTCTATAGCGTTTAGACGATCTAGAATTTATCTATCTATATTCTTTAATATATCTTTTTCTCTTATTAATCTTCTTTATTTTATTTACTTTTTATTAATATATAGTTAATAATATCTTCGCGAATAAATAAATTATAATTTATATTTTTTATTTTCTTAATTTTCTTCTTTCTTCTAGCATTTTTAGCTCTCTTTATTACTATTCTCTTTTTCGCGTTTTATTTTAGAGTCTTTATAATCTCTATAATTTAGATATAGTAGACTTACTTAATAAAATATAAAGTATTATAAATCTTCTATTATTATTAAAAGTTAAAATAAAATTAATATTAAATATTAAAGATAATAATAAATAAAATATAAAAGTAAATATATTTAAATAAATAAAAAAATGAAAGGGTGGAGGGAAGTTATTAACTTAAAAAGAGAGGTTATTAATTAATATATTTTTAACTTATTTAAATTAAAACGCGTTAAATTTTTATTTAAATTTAACTATTTATTTAATTTAAATACTCTATTTAAACTAAATAACGTTTTCGCTAATAATCTCTATTTAAATTAAATAAATTTTTTATTAATAATTAACGCCAAGTTAATTATTATTTATTATTAAATATTATTACTCTAATTATACTTCTTTATTTACTTTCTTATTCTCGAGTATTTTCTTATAAATAATATTTATTTTAATATATATAATTATAGATTTTTTAATATAAATATTTATCGATAATA